CAGCTTCTTAAACATGTTTCTTGCTTGAAAAAAAAAAAAAGAAAACACTAAAAGATATCACAATTTAAGAGGTGCTGACCTTTGTGTTTTGCTTTTGGAGAGTCGATTTTAACTTCTTGAAAATAACATTGACTCCCTTCTAAATGTAAAATCAAGTAATGATTACACTTAACTTTTTTTTCGTTACATTGTCGGCACTCACCGATTTTCCTTGTTGAATGTTAATTAGAGGCATTGAATAGGCCCGAATTAAAAATCCGTGGACCATTTGTAAGGTGTCATTAAGGGGTCTCGGGCGCCAGTTTTCTCACCAATTTCAATTTGGTTTTATAGAAAGGCATAGTTTTGAACTTTCGTTCGCTTTTCACTACTTTGTTTCGAAGGAAAGGTTTACTTTCACCTTCCTTGCAGAGTCCTTGGCGATTCTTTTTTTACATAAGAAACTACTAACTATCTGTTATCTTGAAATCTAAACTAGCGAAGCGGTACATACGTAAACAAGGACAGAAAATCAAGGAAACGTACAAGTGTCTTTTAATGCTTCAACTAAGTACTGTTTTTACTCTCGTGGGATGAGCTACAACGCTCTGACAAAGGGCTAACGCTCGAAACGAGAGCTTTTTAACTCGTTACGGTGGCCAGTTTACTATTTCAACTTATTTGATATAACCAAATTACCTTGTTACCCCCACCGACACAGCATCACAGTTTCTTTAGAAACTTTAACCCTTTATACAAATTTACGAGTTTGGTTCCAACCACCCTGGTTTAAAAAGACGCACAGTTCTCATAGAAACAAGGCTAACATGCACAGGAGAGACTGAGTGCTTTGGGTGAGCTGTGCCGAGCTTTGTCGCAAAGAGGCTCTGGCAAGCCTGTAACAAGAAGTATGGTTAATACGAGTTTCGGCCCTAATAAAAAAGTGCTGTGGTATTTTTAGAGCAAAGTCGTTTCCCTTTTTTTTGCTTTTGGAGTCTTCGTAAGAGGATGCTTCAAGCTTTCCCGAAGTGAAAGTGAATTAGAATTAACTACAGTCTAAAGCGAAAAATAGTCCAAAATGAAAAACAGACGGAAATGATGTGAAATGACCATGTTGTGAAATTTTTTGCGCGTTTTGGCGTGGTGCGACCTAGAAAACTTTTACTTTCCTTAATTGCTATGCCGTGGACTTTGAGAGTACCAAGTTCGATTCTTTTTTGCAGTCGTTTCCATTGGAGTAAAGGTCACTTATTTGAAGATGGACGAAAGTTTAAAGTTTAAAGTTCGCGGATTTCAGCGTAAATTTCAAATTAAGGCAATGATACTGTTTGACGATAGGCGCCACAATTCACCATCTCTCTATCTTCTGCCTCGCACATAAAGCGTATCCTAAAGATGTGCGGAATGAGTGTTTTAACATGTATGGCGTAGCTGTACTTTTGCCTCGATCTGTTTCAAAGCCGATACCTTTTAGGGTAAAATGGTGCGTTAGTGACCGAGCATACGGTCAAGATGGCTGGATATTGCCAAGCTCTTTTTTTTTTTAGTTTTGATGGACCGGGACGATCGAAGAAGGAGACTAATATCCAGCCATCTTGACCGAACAAGCTTGGTCAAAAAAGTATTTTTTTATTATATCGCAAAAATATTTCACTTTGATAAGAATCAAGAATGGATTGTTTATTTCGAGAGCTGGGAAAGAAAGACAACCGTGTTTGTAGCACAATAAACCCAAGAGTGTCGATTAATATTTTCTTTCTTTTGACCTTCTGCTGCTTTTGCGATTTCATTTCGGAAGTTGTCCTAAAGATACGATTTCAGTAGAAGTCCGCTCCACGCGCTTTTTTCTTGCACGGGATCAATACGGGCAATCCCGAGCGGGCAAGATGGGCCCATATGCATCTTCAAGATCTCTTCTTCGTAAGAGAAAGAACTCAAAGATGTTTAGATGTTTCTAAAACCTGACTACTGTAGTTAGGTGTCTAAGATGACGTTATTAGCACAGTTTAAAAATACACCTAAAAAACAATTTTTTCAGCGTAGAAACACTTCACTCAACAATTGTTAGAGGCTACAATAACAATGAAAGGCTTATTTACCCATTCAACAGCGGTGAAAACTTGAGCATATTTGACACAAAAGTTCAGTTGCGTAAAATATGGTTCGTTGCCGGAATTAACAAATCAAGGTAAAAGATATGGTAGTGCACCGATATGTCATATTCAAGGTGAAAAAATAAGCTTTAAAGTATAACTCAACCCGAAGAGTGTTGATCTTTTGAATTTATTTTAGACTACCACCCAGTAAAGACCACTATGACAACAAATCTGACTGACAACACCGTTGTTGTGAGTGAAGCATTCAGTATCACCTACAGCGTACAGGCCAACCCACCTGCAAAGTATCGATTCTATGAAGGAAATGAGTATATAAATAATGCAGACAATGATACAATGATTACTACTTCAGCTAGTGAAAGAGTAAAAATGGTGAACTACAGCTGCATCCCGTTCAATGTTTACGGTAATGGAACAAAAGGAGAGGTAGCAGTGACGGTGCACTGTAAGTATTTGATCAAGTGAACTCTGTAGCTTTTAAAAGGTCAGCGTTACACAATATTTATACATTTATTAGAAAGTTTCTAAATAACGTGTGTTCTGACTGGTTGAAACAAGGAGGACGAAAAAATTGACGAAATCAAAAAGGATCAGAGAAATAAGAAAAAAATTAAATGGACTCACTGAGTCTTTAAAGGAAAAGGAAATGACTTAACTTTTACGGATTGTTCAGTCAAAATCTGCCGATTTCTGCCGCTTTCACCGCCATATTGAAAATGTCGCTACCAAAATGTAACGAAATCAGAGTGCACACCGCCTAATTGGAGTAAAGCAATCCTCAGAGATAGAAACGTCCGCCCTTCCATTGAACTATTGAGAACTTGCTTCTATGTCAGTTTGTAAGCNCATAATCTTTTAGAAGTACAACAAAGGATGTCAAGCCAGTTGGCTGGGTTTTCAGACGTACCACTACGACGGTCACAGCTGCCAACGCCATCGACGGTCCACGCACTAAAGCTTTTGGAGAAATTTATGTCAGTAGCCTTGCACTTCCATCAGGAGTTGGCAATAACGCAACATCAATGAATAACGGCATTAATGATCTAGCAGTAGGAGTTCTAGGTGGATTGTTCACCAATGTATCGTTCAACAACTCTCCAGTGAATATCTCGAATGCTCATCTTAACGATTCAGCTAATGGCAGTCGCCTGTAGTGAATTTGTACAAATAAAAAGATTAAAGTGCCTATAACCCCAAAAACTTTTTTTAGCCATATTAAATCTCTCTATTGCACTAAGCAAAATGCCGTAAACATTTTTGTGTTTGGTTAAAACTGCGATTTTTTATGATTTTTTAAAGTCGGGTTTATTTTTGGAACGACCGAGTGAACCAGAGACTAGGGCTAGTGACGTCATTCCAGGCCATCGGCAGTGGCGCTCCGATCCAATCTCAGTCAATATTATGCGTTCCCGACGAGATGAAACCTTCGCTAAAGCCTGATCTGGTAAATTTTTCTCACCTTTCTCTTAGTTCGCTCGCTTTCAGCTGATTTCGCTTCCTCAACATTCCACGCGTGAACAGTTGGGTATCCAATCAAGTCGCCGACGGTTCAACTCGCCAACGCCAACTCGCCGACGCATAAAATCGAGTAGAGACGTCGGCGAGTTATTTTACAGTGATGAAAATTTGTGAATGTTCTTGTAAACACATTTTACTTGGATCCATCATCGGAGTTCTTCTTCAATTTAGTATCATTCTCCGTATCCATGTGGTGTGGCTTCACAAGAAAGGTAGATAATTCTTGGTTTTCCTTGAGGTGCCATCTTACTTTGGTTTCGTAGTTTTGCCCTCACCTTTTACTTCTTTCTTTGATAGAAACTGCAGCGGCAAAGCAAAGGTGAGTCTTATTGTCACTCGGATTGATTTATTACGAGTTTCCATCCATTAAGACGAGGGATTGCTCTCTTTTGAAGTAAGCATTTGTGACAGTTCATAATGATAATTGAATTGGTTAAAGTAAGGTTCTTGCTAATGCTGTGTGACTCGATGCTACTTCTATGCTCACCAAAAACAGAAAACGACATGCACATCGAATAAGTTTCACTATCGGTATAGACAGCTCGTTAGACAATTTTAAGTAATTACTTGATTTAATAGCATGTGATGTCGGTAGAAACTTAAATTTGTTGTTTTAATCGTGTATTTGTTACTTTAATTGCGACAGTTATTTAGTTTTCTTTTTCTTAGACAACTTGCAGACGAGCACATCAGCCACGCTGTATTTTTATTGTATATAAATAAATGCTTTTATTATTATTATCATCAGTAGTATTATTATTATTATTATTTATAATAATATATCCATTAAGAAATGTGAAACATACTCTACCACTATGTCCTGGATTAGAGCCAAAATCTCCTTTGCGCTCTTACGACGATGCACCATCTTATGCTCAAGAGGTACAAGAAAGAAGAAAAGAACATTTAAGACATTCGATACAGATTTTTTAATTGACGATGCTATGGCAAATATAGGCTAGACATTTTTAAAATTTGTTTTTACAGTTTTTTAGAGTAAGAGTGTCATTCCCTTCTCATATATTTTTTAAATGTAATTTACTTTTATAAGGATAATTTCGATGCACGTTTCCTGAAATTCTTTTAATACGAACTAGTAGTTGCTTTAGCGATTTTTATATGTACGTCGTTTTTTGTTATCAAAGTTAGTTTGGGTCTAATACAAGTCTGATCCTAGAGAACCGAATTATTATGATTATTATTGTTACGATTATCATCGTTACTAACCGAAGCGTGTATCCAATAGCTTTTCTTAGATTTTTATCAGACATTTTAAGCCTTTTAACATAATTTTTGTAAATTTTTAGTGATTTTGGTAAATAAAGGATTTATATTAATTATTATCATTATCATTTTTTATCAAAATGTAGTTTTAAGATGGAACAAATGAGTTAATAACATATGGAGGACTAGCCAAAATTCGCATTTGTGACAACATAATAGTTAGTACTTGAACTGAGGTACAAAACAGTTATAAACACTAAAAAGACTTTATCCTTACATTTTCGTTCATTTTAGACCACATGAGGAGAGCAAAGAACTATGTGATGTAAGAGAAGTTTTGTTTATTTATAAATTTCTATTTTCACGATTTTTATTGACCCTTTTAGGAGAAACAAGATGAATTAACATTAAAAAAAGGACCCTTCTGGAAATATGACCGCGTCATGTTACTGGCAAACATTAATATGTTCAGACTTAAGAATTGGGACATCTTGAAGTTTAGATGTAGAAAATTAAAGAAAACTGTTTCTTTCTTTTTATTCATTTTAGAACGAAATACCGTTGAACGATGAGGAGGCCGACCGCTCATATTCAAGGAATTTCACCCAGCCTCGTGCAGAGTACATGGATCTCAAAGAAATAAGTAGAGAGCGCAATACTAAAGAACAAAGCGCTCACCTAGTGGTTGATTACGAGCCTCTGCGTCCATCAACACGCTCCTGGGAAGTGCCAAGGGGTCACGTGTCTGTTGAAAAAATCATTGGTAAAGGTGCTTTCGGTCAGGTCGCCAAGGGAACAGCTGAGTAAGTTGGAGGGAGGCCTGGGACAACTGTAGTGGCTATTAAAATGTTAAAAAGTATGAACTGACTCATTTTAAAATTGTTTATATTCTGTTGGAATTGTCATGTTTGCATTGTTTCTTATTCTCCATGCTTTTACGACGCTTTGGTCTGTCTTTGGTCTAACTGTGAGATTGATGATACTTGCAGTACTGCTTGCGTGTACTGTAGCAGTACACGAGCTTGACGCCCGTGCAAACCCTCCGCTGTGCACGGGTGCAGTGGGCAAACTGCGTGTCACTACACGCACCTGCGTGCAATTAAAAATTCACGCGTGGGAGTGTGAAATGCGTATAAATTACACGAAGCCATTCAAGTAAAACTCATCAACTGTGTGTACTGAGACAAAAGAGCGTGTACTGAAGACAAAAAGATTGGATTTGTTCTTCTTTGGAAGATAACTGACGAACATGAGTGGGTCACTGCATTTACCGGAATTCTTATGAATTTAAAGCGCGTGTGACAAGACTTAAAAATTAATTTGCACGGCTTCCGCTCTTCTTCAAATGGTTTCTACTAACTCGAAATTAAAGGAAAAAACTAAAACTAAAACATAAACGAGGCAAAATACAAAACAAATCGTGAAGCGCTCCACCGACACAATCATAATTAAGTTCTTCGATAAAAAAGGGAACTTAATCTTTTTCCAGAAATCGTTGTCTAACACGTGACCAGATTTTTCATTCGGGGCGCCATTTTGTCTTTGTTCGCAAATAACACATTCAAAAGTCACAGAATTTCCCGTTCCTTCGTGGATTTCGATTTCGGTAGTTTCTGCTCGAAATGAAAGTGCATGTCAATTCTTAAGTTCTCTGACATGCTGCTCTAAATTCTTTTTACGTAGAAGGTGCGATTTACTAACACAATTGTAAGAGTGTCCGAAGGGCGCACTGTTTAAGCGAATTATGTGTGAATGCTCAACTTAGCGGTTTTGTCCGTCGCAGGAACGCATTTAAAAAATTATCACGCACGTCGAGTGAAATACAAATCCCACAGTGATAGCAACCGTGTGCAAGAGTACACACCAAATGCATGAAGTGAATGTCAAACGAGTTTAAATACGCGCCTTTTTATAAACTACTGCACGCATTTGTTATTCTTTTACACATCACCGCAGCGCCCGTGAGATGAAGTGAATCCTGCCTTCTGATTGGCTACCCGAGCAGGCAAGATGGGCCCATCTTACCCGCTCGGGATTGCCAGTATTGATCCCGCGCGGGAAAAAAATTAATTAGAATTACGTTGTTAATTCTTGGACAATTTCGGCGATGGAAACGCAAAATGCGGCAGAAGATAGTCAAAACAGAGACACAGAAACGATTCTCGTGGGTTTGTTGTGCTACAAACACAGTTAGCTTTCTTTCCCGGCTCTCTGGAACTCGTTACCAAACTCACTCAGAACCGCTCCTACGAAGAAGGCGTTTAAACTAACTGTGAATTGAATTAAATTTGATCGTGATTGTTGTTCTTTTTGTAATTTAGCTTAGAATTTTAATATATTATTTCTATACACAATTGTTTGGTCTATTTAATTTTTAGTTTTTATATCCTCGAAGATATTAGCATAGTTGTTTGCTCTCTGTAATTCGAAGTTAAATGAAGGTTTTCACTTTTTACTTCACATGTAAACAAGTCATTCTTAATTCTTAATAAAGCGAAATATTTTAGCAACGTAATAAATCTTTTATTAACCAAGCTTGCTCAGTCAAGATGGTTGGATATTGGCCTCGTTCTTTTTTTGCAATTTTTATGGACTGAGGCGAGGTCTCGGTCCATAAAATGCTAAAAACGAACTCGGCCAATATCCAGTCATCTTGACCTCACGCTTGGTTAATAACGTATATTTACACGCACTTGATGACCGTGTGAGAGGCTGCCATACAAGCGAGCGGCTCTGTAAATTCTTCCTCAGCTTCTTCTTTCAGATGAAATTTTACCGAGAGCATCTCATACTAATGGATGGTAATGTTAAAATTAAATCCTCTCATCTTTGCTGGTTTTGTTTGTAGTTAACGCTGCAGAATCAGACAAGAGAGATTTGATGACGGAACTTGACACAATGAAGCAGCTAAAAACCACATCCCCACGTCATTAAACTTCTGGGATGTGTTACACAATCTGGTAAGCTGACTCACTCATGATCCATTCATTCAGTTTGTGTTCGACAAACAGCTTTTGAAAGTACAGGCAACGGACCTCAGGAGGATTTAGGGGGAAGTTGCCACCTTATGGTCAGTTTTTGATGTGTAACACATCAAAATTGATTTCCCGGAAGACTCACCGTTACGACTCATCTTCCCATGAGATCAGTGATAAGCTAAATCGCGACTTGTTGGCCGTAGCTAATTGGTTGAATGCTCACAAGCTTACTCTGAACCTTGAAAAAACTAAATGTATGCTTTTAGGTAGTAATAGGAAATTGGAAAGCAAAATAGCTCTGTCTCTATCAATCTTCGACCACAATATAAATAAAGTCAACAGCTTCAAATACCTTGGAATTTTTATATCATCTGATTTTACATGGACAAATCATGTCGAGTACATTGCTAGCAAAATTAATCAAAGGCTTGGTCTCCTTAAACATATTAAGCATTTATTACCTTTCAATGCGCGCCTTCTTTTTTAAAATAGTCTTTGTCATGCCTTTATTTGATTGTGCAGACCTTGTTTGGGGAGAAAAGAATAATGTAACCTTAATGACCAGTTTGCAAGTCTTGCAGAATAAGGCTGCTAAAATAATTTTAGACAGACCTCTTTATTTATCTGCTACGCATGCGCTTGCCACTCTTAAGTGGGTTCCATTAAAAAAAAGGCGCTTTCAGAGAAGATGTATTTAGGTGTATAAGTGTTTAAATGGACTTGTTGGG